TAACTTTAACTTTAACTTTAACTTTAACTTTAACTTTAACTTTAACTTATACTTACTTATACTTATACTTATACTTATACTTATACTTATACTTATAATACTGTAGAATTCTAGATGCTTTTCAGCTGTTGTAGGCAACTTTTTTGTTGTTGTACGTGCTTTGTTTTTGTTTGGTTCTTTGGGGTCGTCAGTTAGTCACAGATAAGCAACGATGGTTACTTCCTTAAATTCGAACTCGTCGCATTGAACCCGACGCGAGCTGTTAGTGTGATTGTACGAGTGTATCGAATATCTGGAACTGTAAAAATTCTCACGGCTCTGCAACTAGATGACTTTCAATTGAAAATCGTTTTCGATTTGTTTTTCGGCGAAAAGTTTGCCAGCGAGCGAGCAGCGCGCCAACTTTCATTTGCGAATTCGCGTAGAGTCAGCGTTAAATATTCCCCGTCATCAGGTTGAGAGACACGGGAATGGGTTCTATACCTTCTTTGGAACCACTGCAAATGCAAACGAATAAAAATAAATGCCACTTAGAGTTCGACGAACTTTAACAATAAATGGTGTTAAATACTCAACAATTTAGTGGAAATTCCTCATTCTGAATGGAAGTTAGGAGTATTATTGTATTGATTTTGAGAATAATTTATAATTAATAAATTTATTTTACCGCACTAAATAGGTTTCCTCTTTTGGTATTTACCACTATTCATTGAATAGATTAGAAAACGAAAATATCGTTGAAGTAAATGTATAAATATATTTTTTGCGAATTTTAAGTAAATTTACCTGTATTTGGAATAATCAATCTAAGCTTTGAAAATAGCAAATGAGAATATCCTTAAATTATATATATTTATAGTTTTATGTACATATACCTGAATTTAGAAATAGACAAATATTCCACATTAGTCTGTCTCGAATTATAGTAGAATTCGGCTATAACGACTCTGCTTATAGCGTCTTTACGGTTATAGTGACGAAAATTCTGGTCACCAGACAAAATTTTATGAGCAAACATTTACGGTTATAGCAAATATAAATAATAATTATTTAAATGCTCGCGACAACTGCTTGCCAAAAGCGGATTGTTTGGCAATCAAGCTCAAAGCGCCATCTTTTGTTCGATGTTCGGATATGAGAAAAGTATATACTGCTTGCTATAAACTGCTTGCATGCCGTACGCATTGTTCACATGCCCTGCTTGCATGTATTGTTTGCGAAACATGATTCTAATAATATTTTCAATCCTTGGGAATTGGATGAATTTTAAATGGAGTTTTGAGTTTTTGATATAAACTTACTATGGCAAACGGGAATCATCTTACAACAGTTTAATTTGCAGTTTTCTTAGTTTATTAAGGGATCTTTATTTTTAATAAAATGCAGCTATTACAAAAGTATTGGCGTTTTACGTTGTCAAATTAAGAGGACAGGACTCGAAAACTTTTCTTCTTAAGCTGAAAATGAATATGCAAAAAATATATTATATATATTTATAAGAATGAGATGTAGTAGACGAGAGAGAGAGAGAGAGTGAGAGAGGGAGTCTGTAATTTACATCCCATACAGTTCAAATCTTTCATTTGAAGCTAGAGTCCGATAAATTATTTAGATCTTTAAGAATAAGCATTTGAAAAATATTTATAAAGTGTGGACCCCAACTCATCCAACAAAAAGATAAATAAAATAAAAAATAAATAAAAAAAAGTAAAATCAAATAAAAAGAAACAAACAAAACATGAAAAAATGAGAAGATTCAAACTGCGAAAACTTTGGCATGCTGCGATCGATGGGAGGCATTTGGTAAACAAGAAAGGGGAAGGCCTAGGGAAGGAGGAAGCGAGGAACTGATCCCTGGACGATCGCATTGATTGAAATAGTTTATTTGCAGCTTCGATCTGGACCTGGAGCTGAGCCTGAGGCTGAGGCTAAGGCTGAGGTTGAGAATGGACGTGGAGCTGTCTGTCTGCGTGCAGGTCGAGGCAATTGCATTTGTTTTGGTTTTTGTGTTTGTCGTCGCATTTGTTTTGTATTTTTTTCATATTATTTGTGATGTTGGCAGCGCAGAGATAATGATGACGAGCTGCCAGCCAGCGAGCCCGGAGAGGCTGCTGCTCTGTGCCTTACCTGCAAACGCCATAGAGTGCCTACGACTGATTGGGATGCCTTGTGTAGCGACGTGCACAGAATGACATTTCGTGTGCGCACAGTGGGCGCGATAAGGTCGATAACAGTGAGCACTGAACAGTGGCTGTGGGGCGAGCTGCGCAGCCTCATTCCCAGGTCTCCTGCTCCTGGCTCTGCTCTGATTTCCGAGACAAAAGTGAAGCACAAATTAAAAATCGACCGCAATTGTTGCGGATCGCTCGATCGATCGATCGACAGCTTCGCTGTGGAATTTTCATATGAGCGCTTGATTTCAGCAAAATTACATACTTGTAATTTTAAAATGCTGCCGAGTTGCAACACAAAAAAGCGAGCAAGCAAACGCCAAGCAAAGCGAAACAAAAAAACTCCAAGAATTTTAACCCCAACTGGCCAAGTCGTCTGCTGCGTCTTCCACTGATCACTTACGCACATTTTATCACAGCCAGACTGGAGACATCGCTCAGCTACAGCTACAACAACAACAACAGCAACAGCTAGAGACTGCGGCTTCTGCTTCAGCTCGAGTCTTACTCAGCTTCTGTGGCTCAGCTTGGCAATAAGTGGAAAAAATAAGTTACCGTTCTACGCGCTGAAATTTGTGCGGCGATCGACCATCGATCCATCGTCTGCGCCGGCTCAGCTGCAGTGCTGCCCATTTTATTGCAAAATAGCTAAAATACTCGCCGAGCTGGCATTAAAAAGGCTTAAAACGAACAGCTGGAAGTGTCGTTATAAGTAGCTAGAAATATAATTACATTTGTTCTTTAATATGAGTTGATATGATATGAACTCTGTTTACTAACCGGGTGTATATTCATTGAAGGCTTGTAATCTGAAAATCATTGTGACTTGAGAAATTGCAATGTTTATCACATGTATTCTTTTGTATAATTTTAATTGATGATTTATTATTGATTTATTTCTATTACCAGTAAAACATGAACTATTATTTTCTTTTCTTTGAATGGGGATCAATCAATTAATAAGTTCTCTTATTGGTATTTCAATTTTATTTCATTTCAGTTTTTCCGTATTGTAGAATGCAGCTAAAGTGAGTGCCTGAAATGGGCAGCACTGCTGGCTTGCATGTGCCTTGTGGCCCGTCTTGGGGCTGTCTGCTGTCCTGACGATCGTCGTTGTCGCTGTCGTCTGC